ACTACACTACTACTACTACACTACTACTATACTACTACTACACTACTACTATACTACTACTACACTACTACTACTACACTACTACACTACTACTACTACACCACTACTATACTACTACTACACTACTACTACTACACTACTACTACTACACTACTACTACTAAACTACTACTACTACACTACTACTACTATACTACTACTACACGACTACTACTACACTACTACTATACTACTACTACACTACTACTACACTACTACTACACTACTACTACTACACTACTATACTACTACTACACTACTACTACTATACTACTACACTACTACTACTACACTACTACTACACTACTTCTACTACTATACTACTACTACACTACTACTACTATACTACACTACTACTACACTACTACTACACTACTACACTACTACTACTACACTACTACTACTACACTACTACTATACTACTACTACACTACTACTACACTACTACTACTACACTACTACTATACTACTACTACCCTACTACTACACTACTACTACTACACTACTACTATACTACTACTACACTTCTACTATACTACTACTACACTACTACTATACTACTACTACACTACTACTATACTACTACTACACTACTACTACTATACTACTACTACACTACTACTACACTACTACTATACTACTACTATACTACTACTACACTACTACTACTGTACTACTACACTACTACTACTATACTACTACTACACTACTACCACTACTACTACTGCCAGCACTGTAGTGCCATGGCGCATGTCACCGTCACACTCACACACACACACGCTCACACACACACACGCTCACACACACACGCTCACACACACACGCTCACACGCTCACACACACACGCTCACACACACACGCTCACACACACACACTCACACACACACACTCACACACATGCTCACACACACGCTCACACACTCACGCTCACACACTCACGCTCACACACACACGCTCACACTCACACACACTCACACACACATGCTCACACTCACGCACACACTCACGCACACACTCACGCACACACTCACGCTCACACACACACTCACACACACTCACACACACTCACACCCACACACACACACACGCTCACACGCTCACAACAACAACAACAACAACCGCCATTCGCCACTAAGTGGCGGTGACGTCACCACGACGCTTGTGCCAGGCTATGTGCACCCTGAGGCCACGTGAAGTGTCGAACGCCCGCTGGCAGGAGGTCACGGGGCAGACCCAGGTGCCACGGGTCGACTGACTGAGATGACTGGCTGATGCACCACCTGTGCCCCCTACTGTGCCAACCTGCTGTGCTTTAGCCACCCGGCGCTCCGCTCGCTGTTGTGAGCGTCGCTCCTCCGCCCTCCGTTGTTGGAGGGCGACTGCCTCCAACTGCCCAGTAGCGTCCTTCACGAGCCTCCTCCACAGAGGCCGATCTTAACACCGCTGGTACCGGTCATCGGCAAGTCCACTCAGCTCCACGTCCTCCTGTACCACATCACTCCATCTCTTCTCTAGCCCGTGCCGCGCCCGTTTAGCCCCCTCGATCCGGCCGAACAAAAGCTGTTTCAGCATGCGGTGGCTGGGCATGCGGGCTACATGACCCAGCCATCGCAGCCTTGCCTGCCGGAGGAGCTCACCGATGGGACCCTGCCCAGATCTTTCAAGGATTTGTGAGCTCCTCACACAATCCAGCCTGGTTAAACCCAGGATGGATCGTAGGCAGGCCAGCCTAAATGTTTCTAACCGGCGAAGATGTTCCATTAGGGGGGTCCACGTTTCGCAAGCGTAGAGAAGGGAGGGAATGACCGTGGCCAAGAAGACCTGAAGCTTAGTGCGGAGCCATAGACCAGGTAGCTTCCACACAGCATTACGCAACCGATGAAAATATATTGCCGCTCGACTGATTCGGAGTAAAACCTCTGCTGGTAAATTGGAGCCGGTCATAAGCACACTGCCCAGGTATGGGAACCTCTCCACTCTCTCCACAACTGCCCATCACCGATTGGGAGTTGTGGGGGTGGAGTGTCCGATGGTACAAAATATCCAGGCAGGTGCTTAGTTTTGGTGGGGCTGATGGTAAGGCCCCACCTCTTAGTGGCACGCTCCAGTCTCAGCAGCAGCGTCTCCAACTCCTCCTCTGACTGAGCAGCTATTACCAAATCATCGGCATACATAACGTGGTTGAGCAATAGGGAGCCATCCCTTGACCGCACCCAGGCATCAATCAGCCTCCCATTATATCTGTACCAAATGGAGATTCCCCTGGTACATCTATTGAAGGCTTCATGAACTACGTGGTCAAAATAGATGTTAAATAATGTGGGAGCCAGAGGACATCCCTTTCACACCCCAAGGTGTACAGGGAATGGCTCTGACTCCCGGCCACATAGTTTTACCCGGGCCCGCTCACCATCATGAAGGTCCTTAATGATCGTGAGCAGAGGGTCAGGTACTCCAAAAGCACGAAGAACAACCCAGAGCCCAGGCCTACTGATGGTATCATAGGCCTTGACCAGGTCAATAAAGCAGAGATGTAGGTCTTGCTGGAATTCCCTACACCTCTGCTGTAGCAGATGGACAGAAAATATGGCATCTGTGCAGGACCGCTCTTTCCTGAAACCGCATTGGGGCTCCGCAAGCCTCTCCTCAGCGTGAGATGCCCCTGTAGTTGTTACAGTCTGTGCGGTCCCCCTTCCTAAAGAGTGGGACCACCAGGGCATCCTTCCAATCCTGCGGAACCCGTCCAGTGGTCCAGACTGTTGTTATGATGTCATACAGGGCAGTCTGTGCACAAACGCCACCTTCCCTCAGCATTTTGCTTGGGAGATCATCTCTGCCCGCTGCCTTTCCTTGTCTCAGTACTTCCTCAACAGATGGCACCTCAGCCAGCCACTCACAGGGGGTGACTTCTTCTTACAATATTTGAGGCACCGCAGCCTCAGCAGGGTCATCCTCACTTTGTTCCACGATGTTTTCCTGGCTGAGGGATTTTCCCTCCCCCAGGACCTCACAGAAATGCTCAGCAAATCTGCAAACGTGTTCCTGGGGGTCGGAGATTGGATCACCGTTTTTTCCCCTAATGATGCTAATAGGTGTGGCGCTGCAGGTTACTTTTTTGATGGAGTTAAATAGAGATTTGTGATCGTGGGCCACTGAGGCAGACTCCATCTCCTCAGCAACCCGCGTCCGGCAAAAACAACCCCCTACCTCCTCGCGGTGCCGGACGGGCAACTCTGTCGTGGACAGTGCTGTGGGGGGAGGGCCAATTCCGATTGGCTCCTCCCCTCATGGCGTCTGTGTCCACCACAGTGGCTAAATGGGGGCTCTGGACGGGTGCGAGGGGCTGGTAACCCCTCCACCTTCAATTAATTACCACGAAACCACGAGTTAAACACGCACATACACGCTCACACACGCTCACACACATGCTCACACGCACACACACACACGCACGCACACTCACGCTCACACACACGCTAACACACACACACCCTCACACATGCTCACGCACACACACGCTCACACACGCTCACACACACTCACGCACACTCACACGCTCGCACACGCTCACACTCACACATGCTCACTCACTCACACACACGCTCACTCACACACACGCTCACTCACACACACACTCACACACACGCTCACACGCTCACACACGCTCACACGCTCACACACACGCTCACACACGCTCACACACGCTCACACACACACCCTCACACATGCTCACGCACACACACGCTCACACACACTCACACGCACGCATACTCACACGCTCACACACGCTCACACACCCTCACACACACACACGCACGCACACTCACACGCTCGCACACGCTCACACACGCTCGCACACGCTCACACGCTCACTCACACACACGCTCACTCACACTCACACACACGCTCACTCACACACACACTCACACACACGCTCACACTCACACACACGCTCACACTCACACTCACACACACGCTAACACACACACGCTCACACACACGCTCACTCACACACTCACACACACGCTCACTCACACTCACACACACGCTCACTCACACACACACTCACACACACGCTCACACTCACACACACGCTCACACTCACACTCACACACACGCTCACACACACACTCACACACACGCTCACACGCACACACACGCTCACACTCACACACGCTCACACTCACACACACGCTCACTCACACACACGCTCACACTCACACACGCTCACTCACACACACACTCACACACACGCTCACACTCACACACACGCTCACTCACACACTCACACACACGCTCACTCACACACACTCACACGCTCACACTCACACACGCTCACTCACACACACGCTCACACACACGCTCACACTCACACACACGCTCACTCACACACTCACACGCACACTCACTCACACACACTCACACGCTCACACTCACACACGCTCACTCACACACACGCACACACACACGCTCACACTCACACACACGCTCACTCACACACTCACACACACGCTCACTCACACACACTCACACGCTCACACTCACACACACGCTCACTCACACACACGCTCACTCACACACACACTCACACACACGCTCACACTCACACACACGCTCACGCTCACACTCACACACACGCTCACTCACACACACGCTCACTCACACACACTCACACGCTCACTCACACACACGCTCACTCACACACTCACACACACGCTCACTCACACACACGCTCACTCACACACACACTCACTCACACACACACTCACACACACGCTAACACACACACGCTCACTCACACTCACACACACACGCTCACGCACACACACACGCTCACACACGCACGCTCACTCACACACTCACACACACGCTCACACACGCACGCTCACTCACACACTCACACACACACTTACACACGCACGCGTCACCCCCCCCCTCCTCCCCCTCCCTCTCCCTCCCCAGGGGGTATAGGAGTGATGTGCGCCCTGTCGGAGGAGGGCCGCAGCCTCGCCGTGCAGGTGTCCAACATCCTGGGCATGGACGTGTGCGGCATCGACCTGCTGGTGCGCGCCGATGGCTCCTACTGCGTGTGCGAGGCCAACGCCAACGTGGGCTTCATCGCCTTCGACCGCGCCTGCGGCCTCGACGTGGCGGGCCTCATCGCCGACTACGCCCTGTCGCTCGCTCCGCTCGGCGGCGGCGACGGTGACGGTGACGGTGACGCGGCCGCCGCGGTCGCCGCCGGCGGTGGCAAAGCCGAGGCCGCCGGCGTCGGCGTCGGGGGTTCGTCGGTCGAGTCGCGCTGCTCCTCCACCTCCTCGTCCTCGTCCTCCTCCTCGTCCTCGTCCTCGTCATCATCATCGGACTCTTCCTCGGCCGCGACGGCCACCCTCACCGGAGCCGCCAACGGCGTGAAGGCCTCGGCCCTCGGCGGCAGCAATAACTCGTCGAGCGACGAGCAGGATCTGGTGGCGCTGGTCGGCAAGTTGGGGACCGCCGATGGCTACGGCGGCGTTACCGGCGGCGGCGTTACCGGCGTTACCGGCGTTACCGGCGGCGTTACCGGCGGAATCAATGGAAGTGGAATTACCTCATTCGGCGGCGTCGGCGTCGGCGTCACCGGCACCGGAGTGAACGGAGCGGCGGGCGTGCTGCTCCCTCCCTCCGTCATCGCCGTCAAGCTACAGTCGCCGATCGGCGTCGGCGGCGGCACCGACGGCACCGACGGCACCACCGGGGCGGCGGCGGCGGCGGCGGCGGCGTCGGCCGTGAACTTCAACATCAACGAGCTGCTGATCGCCAGCGACGTCAAGAGGCTCACCAAGGCGTGAGCTGACGCCGTGTGGGGGTGGGGGGAGGGGGGGGGGGAGCGTTGGGGCGTTGGGGCGGGGGGGGGGGGGGGTTACTTTCATTCCCTCCTTTTCGAGTCATTCCCCGAGTCGTCTTTCATTCCCCCGTGTCTCTGTCGTTCCCCCCGTGTGTCTCATTCCCCCGTGTGTCTCATTCCCCCGTGTCTCTGTCGTTCCCCCCGTGTGTCTCGTTCCCCCGTGTCTCTGTCGTTCCCCCCGTGTGTCTCATTCCCCGACTCGTCTTTCATTCCCCCGTGTCTCTGTCGTTCCCCCCGTGTGTCTCATTCCCCGACTCGTCTCTCATTCCCCCGTGTGTCTCCCCCAAATGTGAAATTGAGCCTCATCCCATACAGAACCCTCAGGCCCCTTCCCATACAGAACCCTCAGGCCCCTTCCCATACAGAACCCTCAGGCCCCTTCCCATACAGAACCCAGACGCCCCGTCCCATACAGAACCCAGACGTCCCGTCCCATACTGAACCCAGACGCCCCGTCCCATACAGAACCCAGACGCCTCGTCCCATACAGAACCCAGACGCCCCGTCCCATACAGAACCCAGACGCCCCGTCCCATACAGAACCCAGACGCCCCGTCCCATACAGAACCCAGACGCCCCTTCCCATACAGAACCCAGACGCCCCTTCCCATACAGAACCCAGACGCCCCGTCCCATACAGAACCCTCAGGCCCCATCCCATACAGAACCCAGACGCCCCGTCCCATACAGAACCCTCACGCCCCGTCCCATACAGAACCCAGACGCCCCGTCCCATACAGAACCCAGATGCCCCGTCCCATACAGAACCCTCAGGCCCCATCCCATACAGAACCCAGACGCCCCGTCCCATACAGAACCCTGACGTCCCGTCCCATACAGAACCCAGACGCCCCGTCCCATACAGAACCCTCAGGCCCCATCCCATACAGAACCCAGACGCCCCGTCCCATACAGAACCCAGACGTCCCGTCCCATACAGAACCCAGACGCCCCGTCCCATACAGAACCCTCAGGCCCCATCCCATACAGAACCCAGACGCCCCGTCCCATACAGAACCCAGACATCCCGTCCCATACAGAACCCAGACGCCCCGTCCCATACAGAACCCTCAGGCCCCATCCCATACAGAACCCAGACGCCCCGTCCCATACAGAACCCAGACATCCCGTCCCATACAGAACCCAGACGCCCCGTCCCATACAGAACCCTCAGGCCCCATCCCATACAGAACCCAGACGCCCCGTCCCATACAGAACCCTCACGTCTCCTCATACCACACGGAACCCTGTTCCGGTTTTCAGGCCTTGGAGGCACAGGGTGGGGGGGGGGCCGGGGACACTCTGCCCCCCAACCACCCACCCACCCACACCCACCCCCACTGCGTCTCCAGTGCCCCCCACCCCCCACCCCCCTGCGTGTGCGTGCCGGGAGTTTGTTTCCACTGCCGCAAACCGGGGCCGTGCTGGGGCCGACCGGGAGCTCGGCACGGCTCGCATACACAAGTGGAACACGCAGGCAGAGAGAGAGTGAAGCTCGGCACGGCTCACATACACCAGTGGAACAAGCAGGCAGAGCCAGTGAAGCTCAGCACGGCTCACATACACCAGTGGAACAATCAGGCAGAGCCAGTGAAGCTCGGCACGGCTCGCATACACCAGTGGAACAAGCAGGCAGAGCCAGTGAAGCTCAGCACGGCTCACATACACCAGTGGAACAAGCAGGCAGGCAGAGAAAGAGTGAAGCTCAGCACGGCTCACATACACCAGTGGAATACGCAGGCAGAGAGAGTGAAGCTCAGCACGGCTCACATACACCAGTGGAACAATCAGGCAGAGCCAGTGAAGCTCGGCACGGCTCGCATACACCAGTGGAACAAGCAGGCTGAGCCAGTGAAGCTCGGCACGGCTCACATACACCAGTGGAACAAGCAGGCAGGCAGAGAGAGAGTGAAGCTCGGCACGGCTCACATACACCAGTGGAACAATCAGGCAGAGCCAGTGAAGCTCGGCACGGCTCACATACACCAGTGGAACAAGCAGGCAGGCAGAGAGAGAGTGAAGCTCAGCACGGCTCACATACACCAGTGGAATACGCAGGCAGAGAGAGTGAAGCTCAGCACGGCTCACATACACCAGTAGAACACGCAGGCAGAGAGAGAGTGAAGCTCAGCACGGCTCACATACACCAGTGGAACAAGCAGGCAGGCAGAGCCAGTGAAGCTCAGCACGGCTCACATACACCAGTGGAACACGCAGGCAGGCAGAGAGAGAGTGAAGCTCGGCACGGCTCACATACACCAGTGGAACAATCAGGCAGAGCCAGTGAAGCTCGGCACGGCTCACATACACCAGTGGAACACGCAGGCAGGCAGAGCCAGTGAAGCTCAGCACAGCTCACATACACCAGTGGAACAATCAGGCAGAGCCAGTGAAACTCGGCACGGCTCACATACACCAGTGGAACAAGCAGGCAGGCAGAGAGAGTGAAGCTCAGCACGGCTCACATACACCAGTGGAACAAGCAGGCAGAGCCAGTGAAGTTCAGCACGGCTCACATACACCAGTGGAACAATCAGGCAGAGAGAGTGAAGCTCGGCACGGCTCACATACACCAGTGGAACAATCAGGCAGGCAGAGCCAGTGAAGCTCAGCACGGCTCACATACACCAGTGGAACAATCAGGCAGAGCCAGTGAAGCTCGGCACGGCTCACATACACCAGTGGAACAAGCAGGCAGGCAGAGAGAGAGTGAAGCTCAGCACGGCTCACATACCCCAGTGGAATATGCAGGCAGAGAGAGTGAAGCTCAGCACGGCTCACATACACCAGTGGAACAAGCAGGCAGAGCCAGTGAAGCTCAGCACGGCTCACATACACCAGTAGAACACGCAGGCAGAGAGAGAGTGAAGCTCAGCACGGCTCACATACACCAGTGGAACAAGCAGGCAGGCAGAGCCAGTGAAGCTCAGCACGGCTCACATACACCAGTGGAACACGCAGGCAGGCAGAGAGAGAGTGAAGCTCGGCACGGCTCACATACACCAGTGGAACAATCAGGCAGAGACAGTGAAGCTCGGCACGGCTCACATACACCAGTGGAACACGCAGGCAGGCAGAGCCAGTGAAGCTCAGCACAGCTCACATACACCAGTGGAACAATCAGGCAGAGCCAGTGAAACTCGGCACGGCTCACATACACCAGTGGAACAAGCAGGCAGGCAGAGAGAGTGAAGCTCAGCACGGCTCACATACACCAGTGGAACAAGCAGGCAGAGCCAGTGAAGTTCAGCACGGCTCACATACACCAGTGGAACACGCAGGCAGGCAGAGAGAGTGAAGCTCGGCACGGCTCACATACACCAGTGGAACAAGCAGTCAAAAGCGCGAGTGAAGCTCGGCACGGCTCACATACACCAGTGGAACAAGCAGGCAGAGCCAGTGCAGCTCAGCACGGCTCACATAGACCAGTGGAACAAGCAGTCAGAGCGAGTGAAGCTCAGCACGGCTCACATACACCAGTGGAACAAGCAGGCTGAGCCAGTGAAGCTTGGCACGGCTCACATACACCAGTGGAACAAGCAGGCTGAGCCAGTGAAGCTCGGCACGGCTCATATACACCAGTGGAACACGCAGGCAGGCAGATAGAGTGAAGCTCAGCACGGCTCACATACACCAGTGGAACACGCAGGCAGAGCCAGTGAAGCTCGGCACGGCTCACATACACCAGTGGAACAAGCAGTCAGAGCGCGAGTGAAGCTCGGCACGGCTCACATACACCAGTGGAACACGCAGGCAGAGCCAGTGAAGCTCGGCACGGCTCACATACACCAGTGGAACAAGCAGGCAGGCAGAGAGAGTGAAGCTCAGCACGGCTCACATACACCAGTGGAACACGCAGGCAGAGAGAGAGTGAAGCTCAGCACGGCTCACAAACACCAGTGGAACACGCAGGCAGAGAGAGTGAAGCTCAGCACGGCTCACATACACCAGTGGAACACGCAGGCAGAGAGAGAGTGAAGCTCAGCACGGCTCACATACACCAGTGGAACACGCAGGCAGAGCCAGTGAAGCTCAGCACGGCTCACATACACCAGTGGAACACGCAGGCAGAGAGAGTGAAGCTCGGCACGGCTCACATACACCAGTGGAACAAGCAGGGGAAGGGGAGGGAAGGCACGCACGCTCGCACGCAGGGGGCAGGACCGATGGGTGGCTGGCCCGCGTATGAAGCCACGGCTTCAATAATAATAATAATAATCCTTTGTGCACGCAACGCACGCAAAATGCTCCAGCCCTTGCCACCACCACCACCACTGCATGCCCAGGGTGAGTGAGTGAGTGAGCGAGGAGTGAGTGAGCGAGGTGAGCGAGGAGCCGCCGGGTCTTGTAAAAACTACTAACCCCTGCCGGCGTTGGCGTGAGCCTCTCGGCCGGGGTGGGGGGGGGGGGGGGTGGAGAGTGGGGGAGAGTGGGGGTTTGTAAACGCACCGGGGGGCCTCTCTCAGGGCCCAGTCTCCCGTCAGGATGTGGAGGTGGACGACGAGGTGGAGGGGGGTGATGATGGCAGATTATCATACGGTGTACGCTGCTCCGGTCCACTCAGTTTGCACGCGATGTTGCTGATGGTGATGACGACTGTGGCTGGCTGGCTGGCTGGATAATGATGACGATGATGATGGAATAAAATCTGGAACCCGGCAGGGTGAAACACTGGTGCACTGTTGTCGTCGACCTTTTAACCCCCCCCAACCCCAGGGGCGTACACGGGGGGGGTGGCGATGTGGGCAGGGGTTGTGGGTTTGCCCCAACTCATGGCTGGTTCAACCGACGGGTTGGATAAACAGACGGTTGGATAAACTCGCACCTGGTTAGACCGACGGTTGGTTAAGCCGAGGTTTAAACTCGCACCTGGTTAGACCGACGGTTGGTTAAACCGAGGGTTAAACTCGCACCTGGTTAGACCGACGGTTGGTTAAGCCGAGGGTTAAACTCGCACCTGGTTAGACCGACGGTTGGTTAAACCGAGGTTTAAACTCGCACCTGGTTAGACCGACGGTTGGTTAAACCGAGGTTTAAACTCGCACCTGGTTAAACCGACGGTTGGTTAAGCCGAGGGATAAACTCGCACCTGGTTAGACCGACGGTTGGTTAAACCGAGGGTTAA